ACAAGCAAGCAGCGGCTGCTTGCAGGACCTTCTACTCGGTGTGGATCTTTGAGAGCAGAGTTTCGCACTCCACCGTGAGATCCACATCGGATAGGTGGACCTGCCATCCTACCGCTGTCAGYTKTAGTCATCTTGAGGRAGTCGACGAGGTGAGGACCCGGCAAAGAACACTRTCAGGGGACTTTGGTGCCGTGTTTGGAACATATTGGTRTAGCACTAGATGCTCACTAAGYAGTTMTGGATGTYTGTCATATCGAYACATCATAAGATGCCTTACAAGCAAGCACCGGCTGCTTGAAGGACCTTCTACCCGGTGTGGATCTTTGAGAGCAGAGTTTTGCACTCCACCGTGAGATCCACATCGGGTAGGCGGACCTACCATTCTACCGCTGTTGGTTGTAGTCATCTTGAGAGTCGATGTGGTGAGGATCCGGCAAAGAACACTCATAGGGGACTTTGCTGCCGTGTTTGGAACTTATTGGCGTAGCACTAGATGCTCACCAAGCAGTTATGGATGTCGGTTATATCGACACATCATAAGATGCCTTACAAGCAAGCAGCGGCTGCTTGCAGAACCTTCTACCCGGTGTTGATCTTTGATAGCAGAGTTTCACACTCCACCGTGAGATCCACATCGGATAGACGGACCTGCCATCCTACAGTTGTTGGCTGTTGTCATCTTGAGAGTCGATGAGGTGAGGACCCGACGATGTTCCAATTGGGACGTGCTCTTGTTTCGTGATGTGCAGGTGCTTACAGGCGGTGCGTTCGATCCCCTCCTCGACGTGAAGCAAAGTGCGGGGAATTGCTCAGGGCTCACACCAGAAGTGCGATTGAACTCGCACTTTGATGGAGAAGCAGTTGCGCAGTCCATCAGCGCGACGATTTAATGTGGTCATTGGCTTGTCATTTCTATATCACAGGTTGAAAACGCCATCAAATCTTTATGTGTAGAAGATTCATATTCATTCATACAAGTATCTCTTGTCATCGCAAACATCGAGATGAATAAACATCGAGGTGAAAACATCTCAACTTGCACACTGTTTTTCCAAAGGTGAAGTCTCAGAGCAAACGATCAGTTTCCAGAAACCATTCTATGTAGAAAATTCATTCAAGGGCAAATTGCAAAGCACAGAGACTTTCCAAATTAAACGCAAAATATCATACAATGCCACATTGCAAAGTGCACGGAGGCTTTCCAAAAATCACAAAGTACATGGAGCCAAAGTGCGAATATGTTCTCATTTCCCATATGGAACCAACAGTTCAATCACAAATGCACAACATCCAAAGTGYGAATATGTTCGCATTTCTCATACGGAAACAACAGCCAGCATCCAGTGGAGAGCACGAGATGTATTCCGGGGATCACAAAATTGGCAATCATTTAGTGCACCGCTGAATCCATTAAACAACTTCAAGCACAAGTCAAATTGCAAAGTACACAGAGACATCGCAAACATCGAGGTGAAAACATCTCAAGTTGCCTAGTGTTTTTCGAAAGGTGAAGTCTCACAACACACGAACAGGTACCAGAAACCATTCAATGCAGAAAATCCATTCGAGGGCAAATTGCAAAGCACATTGAGACGTTATAAAAAGTAATTGAACGTGAAATATCATACGATCCCACATTGCAAAGTGCACAGAGGCTTTCCAAATATCACAAACTACATGGAGCCAAAGTGCGAATATGTTCTCATTTCTCACATGGAACCAACAGTTCAATCACAAATGTACGGCATCCGAAGTGCGAATATGTTCGCATTTCTCGTACGGAAACAACATTCGGCGTTTCGTGGAGAGCACGAGATGTATTCCGGGGATAACAAAATTGGTGATCACTCAGTGCACCGCTGAATCCGTAAAACAACTTCAAGCACACATACATTCTGGCGACAATTGGTTTCCGAATGGAGAACAAGTTCGCAACTGTCATAAGGAACCAACAGACAGCATTCAATCGAGACAAGCAGAGGGGGTGAACCGTAAAACGGGGCGGCACACGCAGAACAAGAACGACTCAAAACATATGAAAGCTGGATGGTCAGGGTGGGGCAGGGGAGAGGGGCTTTCACACCACAAAGTCTCGCGAACGAAAGAGATAAGCACGAAACAATTTGGTGACCAAGAATAAATCGTCGATATCTTTCACATTAGTACAAGAGGAGCACAACCTCGAAACGAACAAACGCAACACGGTGTTGCCGCGGTCTGAGACGACATAAGGAGAACAACCCGAAAATAAACAAAAGGAGAACAAAGTTGGGATATTCATATCCGATATGTAAGCATCTACTTAAAAGGAACTGCACCACGTGGCTAGGATGTTTACATCGGCATCTAAGGTTTTACTTCATGTAAGCGTAAACAAAAGGAGCACAAAGTCGGGATATTCACATCCGATATGTAAGCGTCTACTTAAAAAGAAATGCACCACGTGGCTGAGATATTTACATCGGCATCTAAGATTCTACTTCACGTAAGCGTCCGCTGCTACCCTCTAGCTGATGTTGCGCGGCAAGCAATGAGAACAACCCGAAAACAAACAAAGGAAGCACGGCGCTGCCAAAAGTCCTACGAGTAAAGATGATAGGTTCCACGAAATGAAGAACCCTTAAAAAATTGATACAGCGCGAGGCTGGGATATTCACATCGACACCTAAGCCTGTACTTGACCAAAATGTCCACTGCAATCCGGCACCTCATGAGAACAACAGCACGCTCGAACCGGTTGACTGCTAGATCAAGTGGGAATAAATTCGCACTTCTCCTTATGACATTTCGAAAAAAAAACTACGTGTATTTTTACAACAGTGGTACCATTGAGCGCCTTGGAGTATGTCCACAGCAATCCTCAGCCGGATGTTTGGAATGTCGCTTTGGGCTATCGGAAATGGTGGCGGACAGCCGCGTGCAAGAAATGAAGCGAAGGCGAGCATGAAAACACCGCAGCTCAACCCGTCTGATTGTTGAGGGACACCATAAACAACCACCTTGGTCTCCGTTAGATCCACCTTCATTTTTGGACCATAATGACAAACTGCTTCGTCACGGAGGTATTGCGTGAAGTTCGCAATCACATCAGAAGAAATACCGTCATCGTCTTGTACGAGGGCGTCGTAGTACTCCAGCCGTTGTTCTCGGAGACACAATAGGGTCCAATGCACTCCATGTTTATGGACAGGAATCAAGACCATCTCGTGCGAGAAAATATACATATCTTTTGTTCATCTCGCAACCCTATCATGTCGATAGCCGCCACAGACGAGCTTGGTATAGAAAAATGGACTGAAAGTGTAAAGAGAGCGACACCCAGACAACGCAGCGTTGGCAAGCAAGGCCAAGTACGACTCCACCACCTCGTCGAAAAGTCGTTCCCCCTGAACAAGAGTTTGAAGACTTTTTCTGCTCAACGGAATTGAACTGACCCCTTTGCGAACCGAGCACACCACCTCGTGGCCGTTGCTGTAATCTCCACAGACGTTCCGCAACATTCTCAAGTCCGTAGCGCTAAGATCCTCAATACGCAACGGAACGCGAAAACATGATGTAGCCCCAGCTACACAAACACCCACGAACAAGTGTGAGGAGTGAGCACAAACCCCGTGGTGGAATGGCTAAGAATTGTCTGCCCTTTTCCCAGAAAAGTTGTATCCCCGCTTRTTGAATGTGTCCTTCGCGATGTACTTAGGACACGGGTCTTTCAAGACACCCCGTTTGCCATCGTCATCAGACCCGTCGGACAAAGCAGTAACGCTTTCAATAGACGCAGCCAAATGTTTCCGCAGACCTTCCTCCTTGTCTATTCCACAAGCCTTCAGAACCCTGACAGCTCTCTGGGAAAGGCAAGGCATCTGGACCCTTTTAAACAACCCTACACTTGACGACTTCTTCGGTGAAGCGGCCAATGACCTCCTTGAAAGACGTTTCTCGCGCACGGCTTTTAAAGGCTTCATGGGCAGGGACATTAACAACCTCACACCTGTAGAACATAGAAAACAACCCACAGCCCACAAGTTTTTTTTTAACTAGTGGTAACAGGTACATTAGCCCATGACATCAATTTGGACGAACACAGAGCTGGCCAGTGACAGATATGCGAGTGGTCCTATTCACAAATCTTACCGTGCTCGGGAGCCCTTTGAGGAAACTCGCCCTCCTATCGCGCCACTGCGCCAACGTCCACGGACGATTCGAGGTTCTGGACCTTGGCCACGGCTGTGTCGCTAACCAGCTCGGTGGCAGCTGAGTCACTTGGCAAGTCGATGGGTTCATGAAGCATCATTTCCCGACCGGCACTGAGGACATATGCTCGATCACCCTGTTCGGCACCGCAACAGGTGGACGGAGAATCATGATCTTTCCGCTCTGGATCCATCTTGATGTTGACGGCCACCTCACCTCCTTCCACGGAGGATTCGACGTTCTGCATCTCGGCCACGCCTGAGTCGCTAACCAGCTCGGTGGTTGCCGAGTTGTCACCCTACTCTTTGGCTTCATGAAGCACCATTCCCCAAGCGGTGCTCAGGACAGACGCTCGACCACCCTGTTCTTTACCGCAACGGGTGGGCGAAGAATCACCATCTTTCCGCTGTGGATCCGTCCGGATGTCGACAGTCACCTCACCGCCTTCCACCACGGGTTCTCCGCCTTTCTCATCGCCATGAACGCGAGCTTCCACTGCGGGTTCTTCTTCGTCTTCATCGTCGCCAAGAACGGGAGCTTGCACGGACATCCACTTACCTCCCTTAACGACACCCTCTCGCGTCGTGGCCAGAGCCGAGCGACTGTGCAGAACCTCTTCGGACGTCCCGATCATCAGCGCTCGTGCGTGGAGCCACTTCACGTCTTCACGAGCCGGCCCGTATCGAGTCTCCCCTCCCCGCTGTACAGCATGCGTTTCCCCCGGAGCTCCTGCACTCTCGCTGTCAGTGTCCACGGACGCACCCTCCGAAGCTTGACGTTCACACTCGCTACCCCCGGTCTCCAACACTTTGCGAGACTGCCAGCGTTGAGTCTCCCCTTCCCGATGAACAGAACGCATTCCCGGAGAGCGTTCGTCTTCCCCAGTAGTGTGACATTCGTTCTCGCTACCCACGGTCTCCAACACTCCTGGAGCGAGCCCCTCCAGCACGTCGCGAGACCGCCAATCTCGAGTCTCACCACATGAGAAAGGAGGCGAGCAGGGTAACCCTGTGTCCAACTGAAGATGCGGGGGCCAGGACGTCACATTTTCTTGGCCCTGCGGAACTGTTGCGTGAGGAGCACTTATGGTGTAGGGCGACGGCAGCAAATCCGAATGTATTCGGAGTTCGTGGCGGTCGCCCGAGCCGAGGAAACCGGAGGTCACACCTTCGCTCCTTCGCAATGCAGGCATCCCGCCCTCCACGCAAAACGAAGACGCCCTCTTTCAGGAGCAAGGTGTTGAGCACAGGAGACCTCTGCTGCGCACGGCAGGATGGACTCTCCTGGGCAACGGGAAACAAACTCCTCACAGACAAGTGCGAATTTACTCGCACTTGATCAGACGTCAGGGTGGCCTCGTCTCGCATGTCGGAATCTCGACTCCCTACGCAGTGGGGGTCAGTTTCCATATACTGGGGACTCCCGGACGTTCGACGCTTTCCACCCGACCCCTTCCCGCCTGACCCCTTCCCGCCCAACCCCTTTCCGCCCGACCCCTTTCCGCCGGACGCCTTCTCAACCGACGATGTCTCGCCCGTCCCCTTTCCGACAAACTGTGAGTCGTCTCCTCCGCCACCTCCGTCGTCTCCTTCAACTCCTCCACCACCCCCTCCCGGATGCTGACCGATCGGCGGAGGTTGCAGCATGCGCCAGTCAATGCCACGAGACGGTGCCGTTTCGAGTGCGTAGAAAGGCGCTCGAAACTCCAACATGTTGTTGGCGTACAACTCATATAGCTTTTGTTCTGCATACGCATCGACGTCCTGCTCGTTACTCTCAGGGTTCATGAGACTCAAATGCTCCACCAGAGCAGTTCTTGCCTTTCTCTTAAATGCACCCACTCCCAGTCTCTTCAGTCCACTCCACTTGCCATCGGCCTCCTTTATTGCCATGACCCATATTCCATTCCTCACGGCAAGTTGGAATATCCTCGGGTGCCAAACGACGTTGTGTCCCCAGACATCCTCCGACGTGAACCGGTGATGCTTGCCGAAGAAGTAGAGTCTGTCATTCTGCCAGGTGTCATGGTCCACAGGGAGCCTGTCACAAGGTTCGTGATCATAGTCTCTCTCTTCCTCCCTGTCATCAGACGATTGGTCGTCGACTGGTTCGCCTCGAAACACACGCTTCAAACCGGCAGGGGACGTGCTTTATCTCCGAGGGCCACCTTCCTCTTCATCACCAACCTGTCCAACCACCCGAGGAAGTGGCATGGACTCGAAATCGAAGGTTTCGGAGTCGCTCAGCTCCTCCATGTCGTCAGCATTGAAAGGGTCCTCCTCGTCAAACTGTGACTTGTAGTTTTCGAGAGTAAGCGGTTCGGCCAGCTTGAAGTAAACGTGCTCCAGTCTTCTCAGGAAGTGCGAGACAGACTCCCTGGGTGCACCGTGGTACCCATTGAGCACAGCGAACACCAGGTTTCTCCGTCGACTGTATTCGAGGTCGGTCGGACCAGGCGGTCCGGGTCCGAAAAAGAAGTCCCAAACGTCCGTCCTTTTGTTCCTCGACAATTTCCAATTCATGTCACGTTTGGGATCCCAGTTTCGTTCGCCGATGGTGCGGGCAAACTCGCAAGCATTGCGAGTGTCTGCAACGCGTGCCTTCACGAACTCGTGAAGGTAATCGATCATTTTCGCCTCCTTTTCCAACGCGACGACGTTCCGACCGGTGCGCAAGAGTTCCCACACGACTGACGCATGCGCCTTCCCAAAGAAAAAAACAGTTTGACCAGCTTTGCAAAAGTTTCAAGTAGACCAAGTAGACGGGACGGGTTCCGCTCCATCTCCCCGTAAGCAGGTCCTTGAGAACTTGTCACGCCGCCGTCCTCCCACATGCTACGAGAGAACCTTTCCTCTTCCGCCAGGTCGAAACACGCCACAGCTTGTCCTGATGGGTCCGACGAACAGACAGCTTTCGAGCGGCGCGCCACCGTGTGTTTGGCCGGACTTGGACCATGAGTACAGGAAGCCTTTGTCGGGCTACTGGCCGGGTAGACTGCGAATGTGTTGTCTTCCAGCTTCTCGCCATTAAAAATCACGTACAGGCGGTCACACTTCTCAACCAGCATATTGCCTTCCCGGAAAGTGGCCTGCTTTTGTGCATTACGTACCCACTTCCCTGTCCTGACGTGATGGACGCTAAGCCTGGTCATGCCTTTCAAGAAACTAAGCTCCCAACGAGAGGGGAAAAAGATCACAAGTGCCCAGTGCGTTGGCGAAAGTGTTTGTAGAAGACCTTGCAAGTTGCCGAAATCGTCTTCTCGCCAGTCTGTGAGGAGTGTGGGATCACACAAATCGAGGACGTACAGGTTGCACACGTAATGTCGCACAACCTCACGGATCGCAGTGACATGACTGTGAGCTTGGGAAGGCGGGAAAGCGAAAGGAATAAGGCTGGTCACCCGGTTGAGGTCGGGCCATTTGATGTGCCTCACATCCCCGCTGACCCTGATCGTGTTTCAAATTTCTTCTTCCGTCCGTCGCACTATGGAACAGACAGACTTTTCGAAAGATTTAGGGAACCTGTCATCATCGTACAATTTCTTCGCGTCGTCGAGGGACTCCTTCTCGTCCGGAAGAGTACCTTTGCAAGTGTTCACGTACTCCACCGCGCCCTGGAAATGCTTTCGCATTTCAACCCACACCTGTTTCGTAAGGCCCTGCGGCCCGTACTCCTCCAGAAGCTTCCCCTCGGTCCGAAAAAAAGGGCTCCCGTGGCGCCAAACACGTTCGTCCTCCTTCGTTTCAAGGAACAAGATGTAGTGGAACATACGGAGCAGCACACGGTCCACTTTCCTCGTCGCGATCATGTCTTTAATTCCTGGTTTGTGCTGACGCTTCAGATGGCCGCCCGCGGATTGCACGAGCACTCCCCTTAGCGCGAGAATGTCATCAAGGATCGACAGTTTCTTGGCAGCGGTCATATCGGCGAGACACTGCCAACAGAACATGTCTGGCTCCTTCACGACCACGAAAAACTTGTCGTCCGCTTGCGTTTTCTTTTTGGTCGGAGGCGGCGGGACCCGGACCAGCCACCCCATCTTCATTTCACCAGCCGCCCCTTTCGAGCCCATTTCCGGAATTTCTTGCACACCCGGAGATTTGACTGGCATGTATTTGCCCGGCCTCGACAATGGCATCTTGCCGTCGCCGCCCAACAACTTCCCCTCCGCCCATTTCGCGTAGAATTCCATGGTTTCGCGGAAAACGTCATCACCGGCCGTCACGAGCGGCATCCACTGCCTCAATGCATTGCCAACTGCAGCGACATACTCCTTGTCGGCGAGCGACGAATCTTTTTGTGCCAACGTCCAGTGAGCTCCGTTCGGACTGTTTCCCAAATTCAGCTTTTGGAAATCGAAGAACTTTTGTTTTTCGGCCTCCTTGCCGGAAGGGTTCCCTTGAATGGCCATCGGCCTTCCTTCATTCTCCCATGCCTCCCGCATGTCCAAAAACGCGGTCTTCTGCGATCGCTGCTTAGACATCTTGTGTCTCGTATTCTCGTTGAGATTAACCTGCCTATACCCCGCGAAATCTCGGTCGGAGAACCACACTCCTCTCGCCGGTCACAAGTGTATCTTCCACAAATTGAATATTGGCTCACCCTCAAACTCCTTCATAGCTGCCACGGTGTGTTGTCCGTTAACAGGGTAATAGTAGTACTTGTCCTTGTCCTCTGGCTTGAAGACATCTTTGTGAACCCTGTCAGCTCTCTCCGGCTTACGCGTCACCGGCTTGTAGATGGGTGTCAAAACCARAGGGTTTTTCGTCCAGATCTTCCCSTTTTTCTCGCGGAACTGACTCAGCATCGTACCCTTGATGTYGTCCACAGTTTCGCGACTCAGACTGCGGTGGTTGTAATATCTTTCCCAAGTCGGGATCTCGCAGACCTTCCTGGGGTCKATGAGCAGTTGGACGGGGAGCTCTTTCTCCACGATTTCACCGACATCGTTCCGCTCGTATTCGAGCCAGAACGCTGMCGCTTCGTCGTACTCCTTACCGACAGGCCCTTCGCCACCGCTCGCCGCCTCAACAGTCTTCCGCCTTCGAGTTTTCTTCTCGCCATCGCCTTCTTCARCTGCCACTTTCCGTTTCGATTTCCCCGAAGGTTCTCTCGCGGCCRCAGCGCCTGGATCAGYCGATTCTCCTCCAGCCGCGGCTTGTCCTTCGCGRATGGTCAAACCGCCGGGCCTCCTCACTTTCTTACTTGYCGTCCCACCCTCTTCCTTCGTCGGCCTCTTTCTCGAGGCACGTTCTCCGTCGCCACCTCCATCCGTGCCCATCACCGCCTCCGGTTTTCCTCTCATCCTCTTCATGCGGAGGGTTCCTTCCGCCACCTCCTCTCGCACCATCCTMYGTCGCTCGCTCTTCTTCTCCGAAGGAGTCTGCTCCCCGCCAGAGCTTTTGCGGACAGCGCCCATCCCTTCAGCCTCATTCCCTCCAACATCTAGCCCCGATATGCTTGAATCTCTTCTCGTCTCATCTCGAAGCGAATACGTGTCGGCGCCGCAGCGGACCTCGATAAGTTTTGGAGTACCGACCCGTTGAGTCCCTGTACCCAGAGAATGCAAGTCCGACGTGTTCCTAGGAGCATCCGGGCCGACCTATGTGTGAATGCTGCGTTCCTTGACCCAACCCCCAGTGTCTTGAATCGGACTCCCGCGCCCCACTGCCGTACCTAGAGTTTCTTGAGCCAAGCCGGACGACCCCTCACGGGGTGGCGGAAGCCGGAAAACATGCTCTGGCGGAAGAACCGGACGTTCTCTCGGCACCATCAGCGCGAGATCGAGATATTGCTCTAGCGATGGAAGACGCTTGCTGCCGCCATCGTAAAGGCCTTTGAAGTGAGAGCACAACGGCATGTTCGGGTCCATCAACATGCAAATTGTGCGCTTGATTATGGCCACTGCATAGTTCGTAGTGAGCCGGATACGTAGTTCTTCCCCCTTACCCTTTCTTACCCCCCCAGTGCGCCGGTTCGCGAGCCGGACCGCATTATATGAGATTGCAACTGGATTCGATCACCCATGGCATACCCGTTGTCGACCCCTTTTAGCAAAAAGGTTCGGGCATCGGATATTTAATGAGATTGCGGGTTCTTAGGGACAGTGGCGAGCGGAGGCTGTTGTTGTTATGTTGTTTTCTATTGTTTCGTGTGTGTGTGTATACGTTTTATTTTTAATACCATGTTCGTAGTGAGCGGGATACGCACTTTAGCCCCCCCCCCCCGTGCCGGTTCGCTAGCCGGACCACATTATATGAGATTGCAACAGGATCCGATCACCCATGACACACCCTTTGTCAACCCGTTTTAGCAAAAGTTTCAGGCATCAGACATTATATGAGATTGCAACGGCGGGTTCT